CATTGGAAATTAGTAAAACTGGTTTAAATTTCAGAAGTTGAAATGAAGACATTCGATAATGTTAAAAATAGCATCCCATAATCTATATCTATCAGGAGCTTGTGAATTGTTTCATAATAATAATAATAATAATAATAATAATAATAATAATAATAATAATAATAATAATTTAATATTTATATTGCGCAAATTAACATGTGGATATGATCAAATGCGCATCACAACACTTTTCGGGGGACTTTGGCCGGACTGCATCAGCAGTTTACAAACAATCGAAGGAAACTTATTTGAAGATGCCCCCTCCCCCCAATTCCCAGTAAACAGGCCAGACCACATCACAGTAATCTCGTGAGTGGGTTCTTTAACGTCCCCTGCCTAACCAAATTAACTAATTAATAGATGCAGGAGACGGGACCTACGGTTTATTCGTCCTTATCCGAGAAGACTAGAATGTCTATCCATTTCTTGATATTATAGAAAGGTAGCACATTCTCCTCAGTTATTTTAAGACCTTGAGTGTTGGTCCAGCTGGGGCTCGAACCATCGACCTCGACCTCCCGCACAACAATCCAGCACTCTAACCAATTGAGCTAACCGGGAATAATATAATATATAGATTTATACAATTTAGATATAGATAATATAATACATAGATTTAGCCAAGCCTAAAAGTGGAGCTCCCAAGTGCGAAATATTAATGATAACATAAAAGAATGTGCATTTTCCAAGACTCACCTGAGACACCCCTCCCTTAGTTTTGATAGTCTCCCCTACCCTACCCATGCAATCTGAAGGTGTTGTGTACTGTATAACAACAGACCTCGTGGTTTATGGCATCCCATGATGCTTAAAGTATTTTCATGATAGCATACATGAAAGAGGACACGTTTGCTCGGTCAGTCACGTGACAACCAAACGAAAAGAGGTTGACCATATTCCATGGGTATGGAGCTCTGCCCCACGAAACGTGTGTGGGAGCCGCGCGCTATCAATGACATGGTTTGACCCCTCCTGGAAATATATGGCGACCCCCTCTAGGAAATATGATTCAACCCCCCCCAGGAAATATGTGGTGTTGACCCCCCTCCCCCTAAGAAATCCCGGGTGTTCGATCGACACCCCTCCCGGAAATATATGACCTCGGCTTTCATCATATCATGTACTTTATGTGTTAGATCGCTGCCGTCGAACCCCCTCCTGGAAATATATGCCGACCCCCTCCAGGAAATATGATTCAACCCCCCCAGGAAATATGTAGCTTTGATCCCCCCTCCCCCTAAGAAATCCCGGGCCCTCAAAAGGGGGGGGTGCGGATATTAAATGGAATGGCCCATTCTTTCAGCATCTGTGATTGTTCAACCTTATCATCCAATGGTCTTGTTAAGAATAAGACATTTGATCATGAAATAGGATATAGATTCCTATTTCTCTGAAGAACCTTTCCCATAGTTATTTTATAAAAGCAATAAACCACACTTCCTAGGGGTTTGCCAGTTCAATAAACCTACTTGTGACGTTGGAAGGACACTAAAAAAGCTTGTAAATCACAACAGCAAATTGTCAAGTGTTCGATCCAACAGCAGGCATTATATGAGTCTTGGCTTGCTTGTACTTGCAAAAGCATTGCAATTGCTCACTTACTCCTTGAAATTTGTGCAGTTGCTTGAAATGTAGTAAATCTTGCTATAATTATAGGTTTCTTGGTAGAGAAATAAAAGTGTGGTTAAATGCCATCTAATGAACCATTTATTTGGAAGATTTATAGATACCATTAGATCACTGGGCATATTCAGGGGTAGAGTGTGGTACTGAAAGGATGATACATCTAAATTCTGATTGGATCAAGGTGGAAAATTAAAAGAAAAGGACTGTTGTTGGCTGAAAATTTACTGAGTGCTTTCTGCTCACACATTGATTTTTTTCTAATGTGCTTGCTGTTGCCAAGAGAAATGTGATGACTGCTTTTGCCTTCCTGAAAAAAACACTGGGCTTACATGCTCACAAAGACCATTTAATATCCTATCAAGTCCCACATGCCCTACCAAAGAGCAATAATGTTATGAGTACCATGGGGTAGGGGGGGAAGGTTTTGCTTTGCAAAGACCTGTTATTTGCCAGAAGGTTTTAGAGGGAGGAGGGGAGAAGGCAAATGATTGCTGTTCCTGGGCTTTTGCATTAATATAGCCAATATGTATCATGCCTTCCTCATTTTCCACAGTTTTCATTTGTTTTCAAGTAAATCTTTTACATCATAGTTGTTGCCTGAAGAGCCAATGTCTTAAGAAGAAGTGGAGGTACAGCTTTCTATATTCCATATTTATACAGGATAGCCCCTTCAGTGTAGTAAACACTGGTATCAACGGGGGTCCTGTTAGCCACCCATCTCCTGCCCCTTACCCTGCAGGAGATGGGACCTCCATTTATTCGTCCCTATCCGAGAAGACTAGAATATCTAACCGTTTCTTGATGTTATAGAAAGGTAGCATATTCTTCTCAATTATTTTAAGACCCTGAGTGTTGGTCCGGCGCTCAAACCCTGGACCTCCCGCACAACAGTCCAGCGCTCTATCCATTGAGCTAACCGGGAGGTCATAAGTGTGTACAGTGGTTACATCCTAGTTTGTGAATTAAGTTTGTGAGACATTACCACGGAAACATTATTGCTTTTCTGTAAAGAAAAGTCTTTAAAATGATGCGAGCATAACGTGCTGCTGAAGTTAAGTTGAGATTTATAATGATTGTCAACAGGTGAATAGACTTGTTAACCTTCCTGGAGATTGTTGAATGGTGATCAAGTATTTTCTTTGACAAATTTTCACTTGGGACTTTTTTACTATTGTGACAAGTTACTACACTTGTGCCTTCAACAAGGGTGTGTTTAATTCAGTGTGTAGGCTTAACTGTTCATTTGTACGTACAAACTGATTTTAACAGCACTTAAAGTGAAGTAATAAATTCATTGTTATCTTTTTGTCCTGCTTAGAATTCATCGGCATCTGAATATGAAGATGCTTCTGATTCAGAGAGTGATGTCAATGATGAGGTAAATTCTTTTTTCTCTATATATTCATAAAAATCTCATGACTTTACAGGTTGTTTAAAAAAATCAACTAGAAACACTTTCAGCTCTGGATTCCATAGCTAAATGTACATGCAATAAGTGGGTTATGGTTATCGTACACCTTCAGTGATGTAGCGCGTCCGGTTTAAACTGTAGATATCTAAACCCCTACATCAAATTAAAGCTTATAGGACTGGCTATCAGACTATGCCAAAACTTTTGAAAAAAAATTAATTGTCAAATTTTTCACGATTTCTACATGCAAGCACCCGAATTGCCTTTTGAACATTACATGTCAAAGCAAATTTTGTTTTTCGCTTATTTAATGTGTTCCTCCGTTTCCAGGACCAAAGCGCTAAAAAGATGTGTCTGCGATTTGCCATATTCAATTTCAGTGAAAAGTTACAGAACAATAGGATTAAATAAGGATGAAATAGGATTAAAAAATGTGGAGTGATGGTACAAAAATCGCTCTTGAAAAAAAAGTATTTAGAAATTAAAAATTTGGAGACAAATTTTTGTTGGTTATATGTAAAACTAGATACTGTCAAAATTTGAGAGCAATCGAACAAATTCCCTTTGACTTGTAGCTCTTAAAAGGTGATTTGGGTGCTCGCGTTTAGAAGTCATGAAAAATTAGACAATACATTTCTTTTTTCAAAATTTTTGGTATAGTCTGATAGCCAGTCCTATAAGCTTTAATTTCATATGGGGGTTTAGATATCTACAGTTTAAACCGGACGCACTGCATCACTTGCACGTGAGACACCCCTGAAAGGTGCACGGTAACCTTAAGCTTGGCTTTTTTCAGTACAAAGAATATTCTTGTCTTGTATATCAAAGTTCTTAAAGACATTTGTTTTTCATGACAAAATTTTCTTTATTTCTGTTGACTTTTGTTTCAGCTATTTGGGAAATATGTGCCAAGTTGATTTCCTTGACATCCAACATGACCTGAATAGCTTGCAGAATTGGTCCACTGATATTGAGATTCTTTCCAACCATCTAAATATGTAAACCCCAGGATAACAAGAAAAAGACAAAGCTCTGAAGCTTATATATGCATGTTAATGGCTAAAGATCTTAAATTTGTCTCTTCTGCGAAAGACCTTGGCACCATTGTCTTGAAGGACTTGAAGTGGACTGCACACATTGCTCGGGTGGTTGCAAAATCTAATAGAATGCTGGGATTGAGGGTGACCTCAATAAGGAGTCTCTGAAGCTCTGTTATATCTCCCTTGTGCACTCTAATCTATGTTACACCTCACAGCTTTGGGCACCGCAATCTCTTACGTTGATGCATGAAGTAGAAAATATTCAAAGGAGAGCTACACGTTTTATCTGCAAGAACTCTGAGCACTCTTACAAGGACAGACATGTGAATCTGAACCTCCTTAGTAACCTATCAACTTCTGGCTGGAATCTCTTGATTTATTATTTCTCTATAAGTGTATTTAGGGAATTATTGATATTAATTTAGATAAATTTGCTCCATTTTTAGTGTGCATTCTCATCAGGGATCTTTTGGGCTTTTTCTCAACAACAAAACTGCTAAAACATCTCTTTTCTGTGATTCCTTCTTAATCTGAATAACTAATCTGTGGAATGCATTATCTATTGCCCTGGAGCAGAGTATTTTTGATGAAATTTAAGGTGTTCAGATAAATGATATCACACTGTCATCATTGTTTAAAATGCAAATAAGTTATGTATCAGCAGTCTCATAGTGTCAGCATTGATGGCTATTGTGGATACAATGGAAGACATGTATTCATTGTAAATGTATGGGACTACGCAAAAATTCAACCTCTGGTATGGTTGATGTCAAACATCACATATCCTGGAAAGTTAACTCGCAAACTGTTAACATGCATGATGAAGATCTGGTCTCTTTTATAAAGGACAGGGTGCTGTCTCTTTTATTAAGGATAGGCTGCTCTCAGCAAGAAACAGTTGGGTTACAATGCATTAAATCATTCTCTTTGCTTGCCCAGTAGGGGACAGATTTGCAGCAAAATTACTCTTCACTCAATAATATGTGCTTTTCCATTTAAAACAGTGGCTGGCATATGCCACTTTCTTTCTTTTGATTTATTTAGATTAAAGCCCCTTGAACTAAATCATAAGAAATATGATAATAGTATGTATGTTAGATGTTACCACACTTTACGTACTTTTTCAACTATGTGTTTCAAATATTAAAATGAAATAAATACTAATTCATGCACAAATGAATACTTAATTCAGTACAGACAATTGCCTATAATCAGCAATTATTGCTCCTACACGTGTTAGCAAGAACTTGGTCTTGTTGGCTTTTATTGTGAGTGTTTGATAATCCATATATTAGTGGAGAACACTCTCTGCAACTATCTTTGCAAAGAAAATACTAATCCTTTCACCCTTACTTAATTTCATTCATACAGGCATGGATGAGAACCAGTAGCAAAGAAAAGTAAACAAAAGTGCCAATGAGGTGGTAAGCTCCATTGCAAACATTTTCTTGGCAAGTTATGCACTAGTTATAAAAAGGTATATGTTGTGATTAATTTTTGTCCTTGGTGTAAACATAATTTTCCTTTGGTTTTGTTAATGAGATGAATGAAAATGCATTTCATGTAAAGAAAGATAAAATTCACAGCTGTAGCTCCTAGAGTGTAAGTTATGATGTGTCACTATCAATTTGGCCTATATTAAAAGTAAAAGAATTAAACTAAGAATAAAACTGAACCACAGCATACCTATACTAAACCCTCATTTTATTTGTATCAATATTACTATTTTTTCTGGTGTTCACCCAATAGATTCAATCCACTGATGGACAAAGATGGCACCTGTACATTTTACCATTACTCCTAGGCTAAGGCACATGTAGAAAGCAATATTTCACAAAGCAACAACATATGCAGGGTTTAAATTTTTCAGACCTTTACTGCTTCTTTTTATGAGTGGTTCCAGGATTTTCTTGCACAACGAGTTCTGGTTGAGTGTACCCGTCACCATGCTTTTTGGTATGATAGTTTGTCACTGACAGAGGGCTAGTTCATGATTAGACACTGATCATTTCATTGATTGCCCTATGCTCTACATATGATCATTGAAGTATTAATAAACTCCTTCGCCATCAGTCATCGCATTAAAGATATTGTGTTAGAAATTACAGCACCATACCCCAAAATCTAATGTCATCCTCAGCACAATTTCATTTTTTGAGCAAGGCAAAGGTAAAAATCAATCAAGGGTCACACAGACATCACCACAGAGACAACATTGCTATGTATAATGGTTATGTAGTCAGATATGTAAAAGCTACTCTATTCGTTAGTTCAACGTCAATACTCTCCCTCACAGTAGCTATAAGTAGCACAGTAGCTCCAACTTGGGAAATAGCGGCCAAAAATGGACCCTTTTGGACAGCCAAACTTCTAAATTTCAAGGAGAAGGTTCCCAGACTTTGTCATCCAAGTGGGAATAAATGGCTGCCACACTGTCATTTTGGTTCCTCCCAGCTGCTCAAACATTGTCCTCCTTTCCACAATCTTACCAAAGCCTCCATGTGTGTAGTAATAAAAACATTGAAGTGAAGAGTGCTATCTCAGCAAGAGATGATAGTCAAGCACACTTTTAAGTGAGTCATCCCAGCAGATGTTTGGTGGGGTATTGCATTCTGTGCTCAAAATCTAGTTCACACAGACCTCGCAAAATAGAATGGGGTGTAGCAGTCATTCAGGTCGGTTAATCTCTCCAAGCTCTAATTTGATACCACTGCTCATTTGGTTATCTTTCTTGCCAATACTCTTTCCGGTTATTTGGGTTTTCTTGGAAACTCTTGCCATTGAGAAAAAGCATGATAAGTGTTTACAAATTAAAAGCAAAGAAAGTGAAAAACGTAGGAGAGTAACAGGATGGTATCAAAGACAGTGGTATAATTTTTTTGCAGGGGGTAGTTTTTTATTTTTGAATCAGAGTTTTAGCCTAAGTATGTCTAAGTTTCTACACTTGTTGTTTAGCCTTGTGATTTCTTGCTTTAAGAAGTAAAGTAAAATTGCTTGTATTTGTTTTTTTCATTACAGCTAATTGAGTCTGTAAATGGAGAGCGAACACAGAATATTGATGGTAAGGAACACATTGTTTGCACTATAAAGTATTGAAAGTAATTTGCACTCTCCATATTTGTTATTTTTAATTGACATGCTTTGCACAGGTGTTGTGTGATAAGTGTGAATAATGAATAAGACTGTACAGCCAATTAGCTGGTGCTGCAGCATCCCATACCGGATAAATTCAATAGAGGACCCTTCAGTCATTTCACGCCTTACTGGATCCTGACATGTCCTTAAAAGAAAATTTACTTGAGGTATATTTTTATCGTAAATATTTGTGAAGCTTTCTTCTGATATATGGTTTGCTTGGATTTTAGTGAAACTAGCGCACAAACAAATTAATTTTTTGCCCGAAGGACAGCCGCGAAGGTGGGAAGTAACCTTAAGCTCGTCCCTTAAAAACGAAAAATGTACGAGACTTTTATATATCGAAGTGAATACTCTGATACACAGTGGCTTTAGCCTCTGCATATCCTCTTATGTTTTTCTCTTAATACCTGGGAGCCGAGCAAACTGGTAACCACCCATATTCTCTCGTTCTCTTTAAAATAAGATTGTTGATCAATTAATGCTGAGTTGGCTACCTTGGCCCGAGATGGAGGACCACGTGGTGAGATAAACTAATTTTCTCTGCCATCTTGAGAAGGTTTCTTATACTTTCAGAAAAGAACAGAATTCTGGCTAATCCAACAACTCAACAGGAAACCTTCCCTTTTAAATTCAATGTTCTAAGGAAGTTCTTGAAATTGCTTGGAGGTTTATCGCCTATCATGCAATAAAATCAGTGAACAAGGCTGTTAAGAATTACACACAACTCCAGATGAGGGTGTCTGCCATAGTGAAGTACTGGTGCATTTCATCCCTGAAAAGCAATCAAACTACTGTTTTGTCACTTTCAACATTACTTAGAAATTAATAATCAGTGACTTGGATGTCACGCATATCAAAGAATATTGGCACGGAAAGAGGTACTCTCTGTAATGGCTCATGTGCACATTCTAGGGGGAACTTTATTGTATCTCTAGTATGAACATTGGTGGAGATATTTTTGACAAAGGCCATCATTGGACGGCCATGTTTATGGATTTTGAAAGAAGGATTAAACCGCAGAGGCCCAGGGCTAAACAGCTTTGTAAAATGTCATTGTATATTGATATTACTAAGTGATAAATTTCTTATGTTTTGAAGAGCATGTCATTAACATGGAGTGGCTGGAACAAGAAATAGTTTTGAAAGAGCAGTTGGAAAGAGGAAGAGAAGAACAAAGAAAATGGGAGGAGCAAACGAAAAGAGAGGAACAAAGAAGGGGAGAAGATCATTTTTCCGACACATACCTACACTTAAGTTATCCCTTTTTAAATTTTAAACTTATATAGAGTGTTTTCATTCACATGACTTTGTTTCCTTGCAACCTTACCGTCCGCCATTATGGTGTCCCACGAAAGAAAGTGCGAGCCGGTCACTTACTATATTTATCGATTTAAACTGTGAAAGATCAATATTGTATCGTTTGCTATTACAATGGTTCTGTGCATTATTGTTTAGTGGCAACAAGAGTGGACAAAGTTCACAAAAAAAGGATTCTGTAGTGAAATTTAGTCGTGTTCCGAAAATCGTTAAGAACGAAGGCGAGGTGATAGAGGAGTTGACACAGGTAGCCCAAGCTCTGTCACAGGCTCTTTCACAGTGAATAATTAAAGAGTTTATCAGATGCCAATGTTCATATATTTTGAACTGCGGTATTAGATACGTATGATGCACGATCCTCGCAGTAGATAGCGCTATTTATGCAATAGCGAAAATCAGACCTGAAAAAAATCAGGCCTGTACGGGATTCGAACCACTGACCTCTGCGATACTAGTGCAGCGCTCTACCAATTGAGCTAACAAGCCAACTGGGAGCAGGCCGTTAAGTTGATTCGTAATAAACCCGTGAAAGTGATAAATCAGATGCAATGAATATATGAATCAACTTAACGGCCTGTTCCCAGTT